AAGAAAAAAAATATACAAATGGATCACTCAATAGGATCATGAACTTCTGCTACAATGTGGGATGTTACGGCTGGAGCAAGAAAAAACATCGAGGGAGCTTTTGAGGGGCATAGGAATTCAAAGATAATAGATAGCGCTGTATAAAATACTGCGGACGCTGCGCAACGCCCTATACGAGACACCGGGCTTAAAAAGACAGCTCTACTGTTCTTGAGGCATCTCGCTTCATTGTGCTAATGGCACTATATGATTATGCCGAATGTGCTATGCACAAGAAGCCCCGAATTCTGTCTGCCAGGGAATACATCGGCTGAGTGCACCCAGTGGGTTGTGGAGATTTACCTCTTCAAGTACTTCAAGTTGGTGCAAAGTGTAGAACTTTGGTTTTGAACGAGGAGAGCACTAAACTGGAAGGCACAGATAAGTTAAGAGCTTATTAGCGCGAAGTTCCTCTCCATGAACACACATGCTGGCGGTAGGTTATGGATTTGAGTCTCCTATGGCGTCTGTAAGAATCGGAACGTGTTTATTACCAATCGCGTAAGCTCCAGTGCTTACTACGGCATCTCGTAAAGGCTCAGTTCCAACAAAGTACGACTTACGTCGTCATGGATTCCTCCACTTTTGACCTCGCACTATTACTGCACACCTGCGTCGTCACTGTCGGTTCGTTCACGGCTTGCGTCTGTGTGAACATCACAATGAAGAACAATGATAATTATACATAATATGCATAATATAATGTATAATAAAATTATTTATAATTACATCGTTCACTGATTTTCATTGAACAGAAGCAAGAAAGAAACGGAAATAATTCAAAAAACTTCTCTCGGTTACATGTTGATAAAGTTCAAGGTTTCTGCTTCCTTATCTCGAAACCTTTTAATCTCATCAGAGTCTTCTCATATGTTTATTGAACTTTGTGGCGTCTTCACAATCTAGGGTATTAAAGAGGAAACGGCGTTTCGTGGACTTCCCTCCGCTGGTCTCTTCAGTGTGTTTGCTTCTTTCTGCCCTCCAAGCAAGGATCAGAGAAATGTGGATGGGTTCATAGTTAATAACAAATCTAGGTACGTCTTATAAAATTTTTGCTGTCGACTTAGTTTATTCGTCTCAATTTCAGGCAGTATCAATTCCTTGAGCTTCTGGATGCAATTTCTGATGAATCTTTGGAGGAGGATAAATCTTCGCCGTTTAGAGTGGATAATATTACGAACCTGATATACCTTTTCGAAGATACTCTGAGTTAGTTTTATCTATTCGCCTTTCTTCTATGAAGCGTCTTTTCGTGTTTTTCTACTCCTTTTTTCACCAAAATTTGTATCGCTTTGTAGAAAAGGAATCAGAAGAGAGGGCATGCAACGACTCGAGTCTCGGCCGATCCGAATGGGTAAAAAATTTCATCATCATTTGTTCTTTATTATTTCATATTTTGCGCATTTCTCGAGAAATTAGAACGAAGAAATTTTTTTTGTTATGGACATCAAAATATTAGAATGCAGTCGTGAACTGCGGTAGTTGCATGCTGTAGGGGCTCTCACCTCTACTACGATACTGTGTATCATTCGCTGAGCGGCCCCTGAAGGTAAAAAATGGTCGAAAAAATTTGTTAAGAATGGGTGGTTTTTGCTGCCTTGGAGTGAAGTTTCGGACCTGTAGAAACGATCACCTGCATTTTGAAGGGTACTTTTGAAGATAATATCGAAAACACGTGAAATTCATTCAAGATGGAAGTACTGTCAGTGCCAAGGCTGAAGAAAGCGCAGAGGTTTCATAGGCGTCGTTAGTACCCTAGCATTTGCAGCGGTGTGGTGATCAAGTGGATAGAGTGGTAGTGACCTAACTTGTGAGATGGAGCCAGATTTCAATAGTTTTTTCCACTTCTGTTTAAGACTCAAAAGAGCGTTCTAGTGTTGCTCTAAAATTGGCCAAGAGCCAGTAAATCGAAGAGTTTGTTGGAAGAAATACGACAAGGCGTGTGCCGTCGTAGGTACATCGGAATTTAGATTGATTCATTCTGGAACATCACGGACTGCGACACTTACTAAGACGAGTAAAGTATCCTGCTATATATGATCGGCTAAGTGTGTCTTCTGGTGTGTGTGTGCGTTTGACCGGAAATTCATAGCGCGGGCACCAGCGGTCGTCAGGAGTTGGTTTCAAGATATGATATAGGGGGTGGGACGGGAACATATTTGGTGGGGTACAGAAAGTGATAACAACTGATAAGGGCTGATAAAGGCGCTAGAACGCAAGGCTCGTCTTCCGTACATAGGTCGCGCTGACGCAGGAGCGTTTGTATTTATATACCTCATGTGGGGTTGGACGGGGAAATAATTGGTGATGCTCGAAAGTGATATGAATGATAAAGGTTGATAAGGTGGGTAAGAACACAAAAAACGTCAAATCCATTACATTGCCCGCATTAACACTAGAGCGCACACAGTCACAAGTGTTATGTTTGCTGGGGCAGGACCATTATGGGTGGGGTAAAAAGGGCTATAACCCCTGATAATGGCCGATAGGACGCCTGAGAGCGCGAAAGTCGTCAATTCCGCTACGCAGCGCGCGTTGAGCCTCGCGTTCCTACCTGAAAATTCTAAGTGATTTGGAACGTTCACATTGTAGACATAATAAGCGTATCTTAAGCAAGTCTTGAGCAAATTCAGTTTCATTCTCAATTCTTCACCAAGAAAAGCAAAAGTGATTAAACAGATCATTCAGATTCCTAAGTAATGGTGAATGTAAATCAAGATAAGTGTTAGATGCTCAATTGTGATAAATGAGCATATTTCATTTTCAAACTAATAACAAACGAATCCTATTCACCGCTAAATTATCTAAATTCAAGAGAAATGCTGCGTGTTTACAGAGTTATGGGGCGTTCACAGTTGGTGATCGTAGGTGCGATAGGCGAGTAGGCGAGTGGGCGATAAGGGAAGGATACGTATTGATTTGTTGCTCCGCCCATTGAGCGATCGCCTAATCGCCTAATCGCCTACGCCTCGCCTACAACGCCCTATGGGCGGAGCAAACCAATCAATACGCATGCAGTCTTCCCCGCCTAATCGCTTATTGACGTACTCGCCTAATCGCACGTACGATCGCTAACTACGAACGCTTCATTACCAAATATTCATTCAAATATGGGTGAAAATGTAGTTTGGGGGCCACCCCATCTAATCGAAGTGGAAGCGGAAAGATACTCATATCTAATCAACAGAGTTGCGGGAAAACGCTCATATCTTATCATATCTTTCGCTTAGACCGTGGCCTACCACGAGTACGTCACACTTGTCACTCATGTTATACAGGGTGTCCATAAATATTGCACCACTTTTCTTTACTTGTAACTTCTTTCAAAATGTATGTATATTCAAGAAGTTTTACAGAAATTTTGCCAATACATTTACATATTTGAAGGGATGATACCCATCGGATACGATCCCTTGTTGTTGTCAGTATGGCTCCCTATTGCTTCAAACGCAACTCTACTGTGGCCCGCATGGCATCCTGGGGTGTTCTCTTAAAAACTTTACAGAGAAAAGGCTCCGGCTCATCCGTGTAGATGTAATGTTTAGTGCAGGCTTTGCCCCCTAACATATCCCTTTTAGGATGGTCCAGCACGCTGGAATCAAGGGATAGGAGAGCCATTCGTTCGAGGGATGTGAAATCGGAGAGAGTGCCTCAACAGCGCTCCTGAACAATTTTTGCCTCCTATGCAGAAGCTGGGTCCTATTGAAAAGATCATCACCCCTCCTCAAAGTGGCTAGATACCTCACTAACAGATGGTGCACCGAAATGTCCCTTGACTCGGTCTAGTATCAAGCTGTATTCCTTTGTAAACAGGCAGTGATGGTGAGCGAGCGGTAGTTGAGACCCCCGTCCAGACCACGATAAGGTTCGATTGCTGCCTGTAGCAAATATCCCTTCCACTCTCACTGACTTCCCTAAGACCTCGTGCGTTCATCCCCGGAATTTGAAGATTGTAGCTCTGCTCCATGTGAGAAATTTTGTCGTCGATGAAAACGATGCCCGCGTGATTGGCATTTTCGGCCCTCGACATCAGCTCTTTGAAGTTTTTGTCTCTGCCGTGCTCCTCCCGTTGGATTAAGCAGTGGTGTTTATGCAACTTATAACGGACTGTGAGCAGTTGTTATCCGACAACTCACTACATGGCTGTGTTAAGAAAGGCCGGCGTTCTGGTCATCTCGAGCCAACCTGGGTATTGCAGTCGTTTCGCTTCATAATGCTTTTCCTGAGATCCAAGATGTCGGAACTTGTGGGGCAGTCGCAACAAAGACTACTTTCATTGCTCTTTCATCCAGTCCACAGTAGGCCGTGGAGCGTGTAAAAATCCAAAGAAGCGCGACGTTCATCACCAGATGTCCGTCCTTACTGCATGGGAGATTAGGACCTCTCTCGAGTATTAGGTGCACCATGAGATGTACAACGAAAGGTAAGCTGTGGAATTTGGCATGGTCATTGACAAGAGGATAGGGAATTGAAAGGTCAGTCAACCTCGGAAGAAAAGCTATAAACAGCTACAGAAATTGAGCTCAAAATTTGGTGCAATATTTATGGGACACCCTGTGTTGTAGCGTATTCTCGTCGCTGAAAATGGGCGTGCTACCTTGCCTCACCCGTCACTTCCATCAGTAAACTTCGGTCGCGATTGCCGGAAAGCTCTTGAAGCATGGGACCAGTATTCGGGCCACCATATTTCGTACGGAACCCCTGATTGATGCCCCTATCTATCCTTCATTCAGAGCTTCTGATTGTTGATCAGATATGACCATCCTTCCACATCCCACTTCGATTAGATATTGCCACTTTGATTAGCTCATATGAGTGGTCCCATCTACATTTTCATCTCAAATATGTATACCAGTTCAGCTCCGGACGCTATCTCGCGTATCCATGATGGACTTCAATGAGACTGAGGAACAAATCCGGACTAACACATGCAATGAAGTGGTGGTTAAAGGAGTACCTTAGCTGATGATCCACAGGTTCTCCAGCTCCGCTAAAGCCTGTAATGCGCGCGTTAGCGGGCGGAGCAAAACTGGTGCATAAATATGTATCTTGAGACTTGAGTTGTTAGTGACAGGCAGCACATTTGCGTTGTTAATGGTCAAAGAATTCAGATTGATTGCATTGTTAATCACAACGGTTCTATGGAAAGAGTAAATGCGACCTTCTTGAAACTGCAACGGCAAGTACGTTTTGTTGGGAAAAGGTTGACCACTTCCCTCTTAGTAACTAAATGCTATTTCAGTTAAACCTGAGGAACGATCTCATTAGCAGTATTGTCACGGTTTCAGAGTCTCTGATGATTTTCGAGGTAAGACATGGTTCAAATCGCATTATTCTCTGAAACAGCCAACGATATCTTATTCGCCAATCGCGGAATTTATTATACCGCCTACTTTTCGACTAGGTATATTCCCTTTCACCCTTAGAGGCCGCCTACCTTTCGACTAGGTATATTCCCCTTAACTAACCTTCGGCCTTATCATGGATCCCTGTAACACGATACACAACGACGAGCGTCTTTCGTTTTCGGTCATATGGTTTGAGCGCTATTTTGAAAGCTCCACCGCCTCACGCCAGACTTGTGGATTTCGTCTAGTAAATGGACAAAAATGAATATCATTCATTCATCGTTCATCCATAACATCTCCCTTTTTTGACAATGGATGGAACTTCGAATGTAGCTTCTGCGAATTTGGTTCTGTTAATCGATATTAATTCTTCTTGTCTCATCAAGGTGTCTGGTACGCTCAAAGCAAATCAGGATCTTCGGGAAGCCTGCAACAACCACCATCATTGAGATCAACTGACTAGGTAATAAATAGGTGGGTGTGGGAGGGAAGCTCCTATTGTTACGACGAACAACACTGAGAATACGCGCAAAGCCGTGATGTACTCTTGCACATTCAACCGTTCGTTTGTCTCTCGTGTTAACGATCAGCTGCACTTCATTGCAAGTAGTCGTCAGAAAAAATCCCGTGGTGAAGGCACGTAAATGTGGAGGAGTTCAGCTCTCTAATGGGACGAAAACGAAGTGGAGCTGAACGGATACGTATATGGCTTACAAACAAGACACTAAGCAGTAAGGGTGATAGTGTAACCCTCCATATTTCCTTTCAGGAAGGAATTTAGCATATATGGAAAGTATGTTCAAGCTCAACGTCTTAAGATGCGTATAGAAATATATGTGTGTTGCGTTCATTCGTGGGGTTGACCAAATGAGTTTTCCTAGAAAGTGTCGAGAAATATCACGTGCATTATCTTGAAAAGTTTCATTTTTATGCCCTCTTTCAAATCCCTGCAATACAATTCGGAGCCTCGCAGTGCCTTCCAATTTCATGAATTTATGTCAGTCCAATATAGCGAGAATCATGACGTTGTATCAGTCGCTGCAGCATATTTACCATGATTATTAAACTACTCTAAAGGTTTCAGGATAATGAGGATAGAGGTGGAGCTTTGGCGAATTTTATCAGAATTCTGAGCTATCTCATTTGTGGAGAGGAGCGCTCGGATAATATCGATCGTACAGGTACGTATTGTGTCTACAAAACTTGAAAGTACTTAAGTTGTGAAAAGCAATCGTCTTAACCACCAATTACAAAAGCCCATATAGCGCCTATCACTTTCCCAAACTTTGTCACTTCAGAGTGAGATTCGGCCTATGCATTGCATAGTAAGACTTCCTTGTGATGTCATGAAGTGAACCTTTGTATTTTTTCAGGAACGATTGCATCCTTATATTAGTTGAAATGACAAAAAAGAACCAAATTTCTTCGGATAAATACGTCTCTTCCTTTATTCGGGATACCTATCAGCTCTTTAAATCCGAAGAGAGGGGAGGGGTATTTGCAGCCGAGAAAAGAAACATGAACATGAAACATAGAATATTGAGCTTTCCAGGCTAGTGACAAATAAAACGTGGCGATTGCAACATCTGCTGAACATTTAAGAACAGTCGCCAATGAAACAAGTCAAAAACTACGAATCAGCTTATTTGTGATATCCGGGAACTCCATTGCTACAATTTTTCTTTAGTTTTTTAGTCCAATTTTCATTACTCATTTCGTTGTTTGGTCAAGGGTTTTCGCAGATGTCGCAGGTGTCCTTATATTATCGTTTCACAAGCAATTACTGCAACAGGTCCTCTGCTCACGCCACCAGAGGGGAGAGGAAAGGGGGGGGGATCTGTACAGCATACAATCCAGTCCAACCTACACATACACGTTGTTTCGTTGGCGCTGCCTCATTATGCCTCCCCTCTTATACAGATAGACCATAACTTAGACTTTCTCATTGCATGTGTTCAATTAAGCGACATATAGAGCCTAGATCCTTCCTGAGGTACATCATCATATAATTTGTTTCGGATTTCATAATATTTATTCAGATGGCGTAGAAATAAGCAATGACCAAAAACATCGTCTCGAAATACTTGAAGCGATGTTACAAGGGAACGCGAAAATTCTCTACGCTCCCAGTGTTACAATTGTCGACGACGTTATCTCGGAAGTAAATTTTCATGATAATTTTCTTTTTCCAACTGTTCTCGTCTTATCGAATATTTATTGATTTGTTGTGTACTGTCCCTATCTTCCTCGAATGTTCCCGACCAATTCAGGTTAACAAGTCATTGGATGCGGTCAATGAATTGCAACATTTCGCAGCAAAAGTGGCTCAGCTCCTAACAGGACATGCTTCTGATTCTGAGAATATGACGTTGGTAAGTGCACTGTTGTTTAGCAGATTGTAATCTGTTGGTTGTGTGTATATAGACTAACAGTTTAGCTCCGCACGCGACTGCGCGCATCACATGTGGGATTCAGTGAGGACTCCAAAATATTAGGCCACGTGGCTGAGAAACCAATAGTAAGATGTTTCGAAAGATGCGTCAGATGAAATTCAAAGGTTGTCCAATTTCGCTGAAGATTATCGCGTAGTGCGCGCAGTAGCATGCGGAATGAAAATGGTACTTATCATGACTTCGTAAACATTTAGCATTGATATCGAGCTCGGATGATTTAGCGGTCTATAGAATTTTCACAATTAGGGTATCGGTGTGGGAGTGAAATATGATCAATCAATCAGCATCTAGCCTAGCTCTGATGGAAATTCGCTATTGGTCAGTCCAGAGAGTTGAGTGGCTCAAGTTCCTTTGCTTTTTTGGGTGAAAGGTTAGGAATTGAACATATTCACGTGCTAAGAACCTGGTTCAATTTGAATGAGCGCACACTC